CCGAGTTGCATGGCGCGGATGAGGAGTACGACGTACCGCCGGTCTTTGATGTCGAGCCCGAGCTCGTGGAGGAGCATCTCACCGGCGATGTGGGTCGGGCTCTTATTCTCCGACGGTCGTGTTTGGCTCCACGGGACTCGAGCACTCCGGTGGAACGACACAATTTGTTCGAATCCACTTGTACGGTGGGGGATCGGGTTTGCCGATTTATAATTGATTCCGGCTCCTGTGAGAATGTGTTTGCCAAGGATGTGGTGGAAAAGCTGGGCCTAACATCTGAACCTCATCCTCAGCCTTATACTCTTGCGTGGATTCAGAAGGGCTCGGCAGTTACGGTTGACAGGCGCGTATTGGTTTCGTTTTCCATTGGGCCGAGGTATCGAGATCAGATTTGGTGCGACGTGGTCCCGATGGACGCATGTCATTTGCTTTTGGGTCGTCCGTGGCAATATGATCGTGATGCTACTCACTGCGGTCGTCTTAATACTTACAGTTTCGTTTTGGGGGTGTGAAGATTGTGCTGCACCCGGGACCTCCTCGTCCTTTGCCGGCGGCCTCTCCTTCGCCGGTCCTTTTTTTGTCCCGTGCGGCTTTTGCGGAGGAGATGCATACAGCACCACTTGTGCTCCTCTTGATTAAACATGACCGAACGGCACACGTAGAGGACAGGATACCACCGGCGGCCATTGGCCCGTTATTGACCGAGTTTGCCGACGTCTTCCCCGACGAGCTTCCGACAGGCTTACCACCTTTGCGGGACATTCAACACAACATTGAGTTGACACCGGGCGCTTCTCTGCCTAATCGGCCTCATTATCGCATGCGTCCAGCTGAGCACGAGGAATTGAGGAGGCAAGTCGAGGAACTCCTTCACCGTGGCGTGGTTCGCCGTAGTCTGAGTCCTTGTGCGGTGCCTGCGCTTCTGATTCCGAAAAAGGATAGTTCTTGGCGAATGTGTGTTGATAGTCGGGCGATCAACAAAATCACGGTACGTTATCGATTTCCAATTCCTCGCTTAGATGATTTGTTAGATCAGCTGCATGGCGCGACGGTTTTTTCCAAATTAGATCTCCGGAGTGGATATCATCAGATTCGAATCCGCCCGGGTGATGAGTGGAAGACTGCTTTTAAAATTCGAGAGGGATTATTTGAGTGGCTGGTAATGCCGTTTGGGTTGTCCAATGCGCCGAGTACTTTTATGAGGGTTATGAATCAGACGCTTCGGGAGTTGATTGGTAAGTGTGTCGTTGTCTACTTCGATGATATACTTATTTATAGTCGTACGGTTGAGGAACATTTGCGGCATGTTCGGTCGGTTTTGCTCATCCTCCGAGCTGAATCCTTTTATGCGGCCCCTCGGAAATGCTTGTTTATGGTGGATTCCTTGCTTTTCTTGGGATTTGTTATTTCTGCCGAGGGTATTCGGGTTGACGACTCCAAGGTGGCTGCCATTCGAGAGTGGCCGACTCCTACCACGTTCACGGAGGCCCGTAGCTTTCACGGTTTGGCTTCCTTCTATCGGCGCTTCATTTCCCACTTTAGTTCGCTTACGGCTCCGATTACTGATTGTCTCCATGGGAAGACTTTTATGTGGACACCAGCTGCAGAGGAGGCCTTTCTTCTCATCAAGACTAAGCTTACATCCGCCCCGGTTCTGGTTTTACCGGACTTCACTCGTCCTTTTGAGTTGTCGTGTGATGCCTCCAAAGTTGGTATTGGTTCTGTCCTTAGTCAGGAGGCCCGTCCTGTGTCCTTCTTGTTAGAGTAGTATACCCGGCGTTCCAATTTGATTGGAAGTATTATACTTGTAAATACAATCTATTCGAATTATATTAATTAAAAGGCATTACTTTATCTTAAGAGTAAGC